TGTACCTCTGGTGCAAATTACTGACCTCTGTCATCATTTTAAGTGGGGGAACTTGCACAATCGGTGGCTGACTAAATACTTTTTTGCCCCACTGTATGTTGCTACAGTGATGTGCAAAGATCTTTAGCCACCCCTCATTTCTTTACATTGTGCTATCAAGGAGCTAGAAATTTGTCATTTATTTAGTCCAGTCCTGTACTTGACCGTTTTCAGACCAACCTGTTTTTTTGTGTGTGTATCAAAAGAATTATTCAAGCATAAAAGGCACCTAATTAGAGGTGTGTCTATGTGTCTACACATATGACAAAACCTAGTTTAAATTATGTGTCTAGTCCCTTTGTTACACATTTCAATAAATCGAATGCATCCATTTCTCACGTTCCTATTCCTAATAGGATAAAGAACTGAATAAAGATTTTGAGGGATGGCACAAGACTTTTACATGTACTTTATCTCTTAACGTATTTTAGGTTCACATGCTCATACATGTTCTTGCACACCCTCCTACCTCATTGCAAACTAAGTACAGTAAACTGTAACAATATCTTCACACTGCTTTCCAATTTTCACTGGGCCGTGCATCAGTATAGCAACCACCAGCCCTGGCAGCAAATTTATGCTGCATAAAAGTTCAGTTTTTCATCACGTCAAAGTTGCTATTTGGTGTCAACGTCAGTCAGTGGACATCACCAAACGCCGTGCCTGTACAGGCCTTTTATTCAGTCAGTGATAAAAATAGATAAATACAAACAATGACTGTGACAGCTCATATTCAAGGAATATCCTGAGACGTTGGCAAATACCTTAATCTCATCGCGTGTACAAAAAAGGGATTTGAGTTGTCACGTTCACAGCAAGCAGACCTGCACAACAATTCAATACACAATGAAAGCAGATCAATGAAGGTAATTCAACAAACCTCTAACATCACTGGAGCTGGGAGTGGAAATACAATTGAAACACAATATCTGGCTTATTACTCATAACTCCATCTATTTATAAAAAGTGAAAAACAACAGGAAGCTCTCTCTAAAGCAAACATGTAATCTTTATTTAGAAACAAACTACTACCTACTGCAATCATGCTGTCTAGATTTTCCCCTTTTTAGATTTTATCTACAAAAGCAATCCAGTGACTTACATAGATTGCTGTCTCACACTGGGAATAATTATTTGCATGGGCAAATAAGAGCAGGAATCAATGACACAGGGAGACTTCAGTGAGGTACTGAGAGTGTCAGGATTATAAATCCTTAGAATTTACAAAGAAATCCAATTCACACCAGAAGAAAGGGTGTTAAAAGGTCTCCAGATCTGTTGTCTTCACTGTGACCTGCTGTCTTTACACTCATTTTCCTTTCCCGCCACTCTAGCGGGAGCAGGAACAAAGCCTTTCTCCAGCTGCCCGTCTTTTCAGTTGGTTCAGGTGGTTTGGATGAATAGCAGACTGGCAACAGCAGCTCCATGACTGCACTACAGTCGGCACAGTTGAGTTGAAATACAAGGCGGTGAGTCAGTTTAGCCTAATCACTTCCTTCACATTAGCCAAAAATGATCTATACTATATTCTGTAACCAAGAAGACTGGTTAAAGCTCAGGAAACAGGTGAAAACTTAACTCCCACTCTTACTAGGCACCTTGTGGTGGGTCACAGCACTATCAGCTGTTCACTGGGGGGGGGGAGTTGCCATTCTGGCGAACTCTTCTCCCTGTTCAGGGGTCACAGAGTCACAAATAGACACAGATTCATGTGACCTGAAGCCAGGCCAGGAACGACACTCAGTAAGGGAGAGAGCCTGCAACAGAACTATCCCCTATAAATCATCTAAGTATCACAAAACCACAAGAGAAAGAGCCCCACAGGATGCCTACTCCCCTGTTCAAACCACACTTATGGTTTCAGATTACAAGTGGCAGGCTTAAGCGGTGAATGCATTCATTTCATCTGCTCATCAATTCATTTCATTAGCTCCTGTGTGATACCATCACGCACGTTGTACCATTCAAGAGCCCATTACAGCTGCCAACACACACATACTACACACGTGCTCCTACACAACCACGTGTCCAACGACTGATCACAAGGTTATCTAAAAATGTAGCACTGCTATATTCAATTCTTTCATTCGATAAGAGTTTCATTAGATTCTTTTCTTTTTTTTAATCACAAAATTCGGGAAGAAGATGCAGCAGTGGTTTAGATGTGTCACTCTCGTGATGAGAGAAACAAAAAAGCGGCGAAATGCGAAGCGCAGGAATGAAAAAATGCGTTAAGAAACAGCGTTTTCTAGCACCAAAATGTTTCCATTAGTCAGCCCTCTTCTCTAGCTGGACCGTCTGGGTCTAATTGCCGGGATAGAGCGCGAAAACGTGGCGCTAAATTTAATTTAAATCAACAAAGGACACACGCGGTCACGGAGTAACGAAAGCCCCGGTCAGTCTGCCTCTATTTTTCTACCTCTTTAGATTATTTTAGATATAAAAACGAACCTCGGCCTCGTAACTTTAACATAACAGCACAAATCAGCATCCGATACAACAGCAACGTTATTTTTCAATAAATTTGCCTTTTTTACGCTTAATCTGAAGGCGGTTTCAAACTACTGCCGCATTTATGTGGCGATTCTTGATGGTAAAGGTAAAATAAGCGTCTGTGAGTACACACTAGCGCTCAATGACTGCAGTGTGATGTCTTACCTTACCGGAGTCGGTGGAGTTTATTGTCCCGTCCACGTCTACACAACCCAAATGAACACAGACACGCCTTCGTGGCATGATCATCACCCAATCGCATCATTCATCACAAGTTTAGAACAACAAAAGGCGCACAGGGGACGAAAATAAGCCTGTTATTGGGTGGTAGCCCGCCAGGGTATAAAAACAAATATCTAAAATTAATAAATGAGCCCAAACACAACACGAAAGGATCCTTTTGTCACAGTCTGTGAGTTTTGCTCCGAGCCTTACGTTTTCTGCATTGTTTTTAATTTGTAGTTCAGGCTTATTCATTTTAGACTGTTTCATCGAGCTTTTTCGTTTCAGCACTATCCGCAGGGGCGGATCTAGAAGGGTGGCATGGGGTGGCATGTGCCACACGTGCCACCCCATGCCACGTTTTTTGTGTGATTTCAGATCCGTTTTGTTAATACAGTATGTCAGTGAAAAATAACTAAATTCAGACTCGTGAGGTTGTGCTGAAAAGAACGATACCAAGCAAGGCAAGGAAGAAAAATACAATGAAACAATTTGAACATGAAACACAAATATGTCAAAAATGTCCAGTTATATTTTAGATCATCAGAGGGTTAACCCAACAAATCATGAAAAATTAGGTTTAAATTTTGTGTTCATGACAGTGCAGATTTGTGGCATATTGTGTAAATTTAAGTATGTAACAATCTGATTTTTTTCTAACTAAAAACAGTGTGAAACTTAAGTTAGACTTGTGTTTGTAAATGAACCGCCCCCTGCTGTGTACCTTTCTGGATTTTATACATATTAATTATACAGGCTATACAGTACATAAAATCAAAATTCACACGTTTTATGTAACTGAAATGTAATTATCTGGGCTACAGAAAAAAAATTAGTTATAGACTATATTTATATGAAACGTGTATACTTACTACATTTGAATCATTTTAACCATATCTAACCACAGTGTTGGGAAGGTTACTTTTAAAATGTATTCCATTACAGAATACAGAATACATGCCCCAAAATGTATTCTGTAACGTATTCCATTACGTTACTCAATGACAGTAACGTATTCTGAATACTTTGGATTACTTAATATATTATCATGCTGTTTACAACTACATGAAT